AGTTAACATGTGTATGTGATAGTTTGCTTGTTTGGTTTTAAAATCACCAAAAGAAATTCGAAAGTCTTTGAGTTTCCCTCCCTTTTTTAAGACCAAAAACAAAAACAGAAACAAAAACTTATACAAGCAAGGACGTCATTCCTGTATGCTGGGGGTCTAGAACAATGCCTGATGCAAAATAAGCATTCAATAAATAACGTGGAATAAATGAAGTCTAATTATGAGGGTGCTTGGCAAAGAGTAAGCATTCGGCATAGGTTATTAATCAATGACTATGGGCAGACAAATTTTTAAAACAGATGAAGTTTTCTATTGGCAGGTGTAGCACTTTATTATTTGTTAATCCATTAAAAAGGAATTTAATAGGCACAATTCCTTTAGGTACCAAAGCACACAAAGGGTATAGAAAAGGTACTTGATCAACATCAAGGTTTTCCATTCCGAGTCCAGCATAAGTTGATAATTCAAAGGTCTTTGAAGTGAGTGGCCTATAATATCAAAAGGGAACAACAGCAAATACGATATAAAGGAATAGATTTTAAACACAGACCTGGGACAGAATTCAGTTTAAAGAATGTAAAGATCCACATGGTTACTAAACAATTAAGAAATCAGGGGCTTAATGCTGGGCTTTCTGCTCTAGACAGGGCAAGATTTCGTTAGCCAAAGGATATTTCTCTTCAGTGCTTAAAAAAGATCTGCTAGACCCCAGGAAAATGGCCGAGGGCTGATAGCAATTGGCTTCTCTACTGAGGGGGTCTGAGCTTCACCCTTTGGCTGCCAGGAGCCACAAGCATTGTTTCTACCCGCTAGTGCCATGAAGAGTACAAGCCCTAAGGAAAGCCAAACACATGAGGAAAAAATGTAAGCATCTTGATCCCCTAATGTCCTCTTTCAAAGGCAGGTAAACAGAAGATTCAGGGAAACTAACAAAGTTGGTAGGTTCTTGACTTGCATATTTTTCCATAATAATTCATGGCTTGTGTCAGAGCCACAGGTGAATCTACGAGGATGTAATTCTGAAATCAGCAAAGCATTAAGCATACTGGAACCACACCGCACATTTAAAGATACGAATTAACGAGATCCCCATAATTTTTTCAAAAGGATCAGGAGGAGGTCAAATTAACTAATGAGCTAACCTGTATGACTACAAATTAACATGAATGGACCGGCTAATATCAGAAAAGCACACAACACTTAGCTTTTTACAAGCCAGAGCAAAGCCACTGCTAACACATTCGCACTTCCACGACGCATGGTGTGGTGAGGGGAGGGGGACGACTCTGGTCTCCGCTCACGCCCTCGGCCAGGTGCCACTGCCCATGGCACAAGCTGCATTAAAGCTCCATGACAGGGGAGTGGCTGTGAAACGCAGATAATGGAAAAAAATAATACATATTTAAGCCACACATCTACTTCCTAGAGAACCTTCAATCAATCAATCTTTTTTAAATAAGAAAGAAACTAAGTCAACAGCATCTGAGCAACAGATGAGAATTAAAGCAAAATCTGCTGGCTAATGGTAAGAGCTTGTGGGTTCTTTGTTGTTGAAAATGTGCAGGCAGCAGCAACTCCAATATGCTCACAACCTCAGATGCAAAAGGCTATGGGAAACAGTTGCTATTTTTACACTGGAGATAAAATCAAACACCACCTTTCAGATCTTAATTTTGCTAAAACAGTAGAAGGAAACAAAACGGAGTTGCTAGATGGCGAAAGGATCTAGAACCTGTGCTTTCCACCACAGGCAAATACAGCCTATATTGGACAACAAAAGGAATAGCTTGCTCTATATTAAGGGCAACAGAGCATGAACCTGCCACATCAAGTCATCTGAAACAAACTGTAAAGTGAAGGCAATATTCTAGAAAATGGGATATGTGAAGCTCTAATAGTTTTTTTAAAAATTTTTTATTATGTTAATCACCATACATCACATCATTAGTTTTTGATGTAGTGTTCCATGACTCATTGTTTTGCATAGCACCCAGTGCTCCACGCAGAGCGTGCCCTCTTTAATACCCATCACCAGGCTAACCCATCCCCCCACCCCCCTCCCCTCTAGAACCCTCAGTTTGTTTTTCAGAGTCCATCGTCTCTCATGGTTCGTCTCCCCCTCCGATTTCCCCCCCTTCATTCTTCCCCTCCTGCTATCTCTTCTTCTTCTTCTTCTTTTTTTCTTAACATATATTGCATTATTTGTTTCAGAGGTACAGGTCTGTGATTCATCAGTCTTACACAATTCACAGCGCTCACCATAGCACATACCCTCCCCAATGTCTATCACCCAGCCACCCCATCCAGCTCTAATAGTTTTTATATTTATAGACTAGACTACTCTAGTTAAATCTTCATGGCTTTTTTTTTCTTTAACACCTTAAAGAGGAAATTGTTTCCTTATACATTACTACGATATTGTAGAAGTAGTACTAGTGATTATAACAACTATGTTAGTTTTCTACTGATGCTGTAAAAAAAAAAAAAGTACTGTAAACTTAGTGGCTGAAACAACAGAAATGGGCTGAAGTTAAGGATTTGGCAGGCTGGGTTCTCTTCTAGAGGCTTTCCAGACAGAATCCACTCCTCTGTGCTTTCTAACTTCTAGAGGCTGCCCTCATTCCTTGGCTCATGGCCACCTCCCTCCATCTCAAAGCCGGCAACATTGCATTTCTCTGCACCTTTCTTCCACAGTCACACCTCCCTCTTCCACTTTTAAGGCTTCTCATGATTACTTTGGGCCATGGGGGGGGAAATCCAGGATGATCACCTCTATCTTAAGGTCCGCCTATCAGCAACCTTAATTCCATCTGCACTGTAGTTCTCCTTTGTCATGTTACATGACATATTCACAGGTCCCAGGAATTGAGATATGGACATCTTTAGGGGGCCCTTATTCTGCTTACCACAATAATTGACATCTATTGAGTGTGTATTTCTTGCCAGGTGCTATTTTATAAGCGTGTTACATGTAACTAAACAAATGTAATTCTCATAATAATGGTATTTTCTATTATTATTCCCATTTTTTCAGATGAGGAAACTGAGGTACAGAGATTAAATAGTGTGCCAAATGCTACCTAGATAGATAACCAGAAGAGCTGGGATTGAATTTAGCATTTCACGTGCAGAGCCTGCACTGTTAACCTCTGACTTCCATAAATTCAAAGGCAATTCTCATCCATATATTTGGATTGTGTGTGTCATTATTATCAGGATGGTTAAAGCACAGCCCACAAATTCTGGCAATCATAATGATTACCTAGAAAAAGGGCAAGTTTAACATTCAAAATATCAAATGGGAAGACAGAGTCTATAGAGACCACCAGGAAAAACAAACCAACATCTATTGAGAGATTTGTCTTACTGGAATCAATATTGTCTGTGTTGACTAAATGTGATTTTGCAGTTTCAAGGTCTCTCTCTCTCTCTCACTTTCCATATTTATATATAATAACATATTATATTTATATTCATATGTTATATATGAATAACAGATATGGAATAGAACTTTCTGTTTCTGTCTGGAATTTCAGTTGAAAATCCTAAACTTGGGGCACCTGGGTGGCTCAGTCGGTTAAGCGTCCAACTCTTGGATTTGGCTTAGGTCATGATCTCAGGATTGTGAGAATGAGCCCCACTTCGGGCTCCAGGCTCAGGGAGGGGTCTGCTTGAGACTCCCTCCCCCTCTCACACTTAATGTGCTTTCTCTCTCTTTCTAAAATAAATAAACAAGTAAATAAATTTTTTTTAAAAAAATCCCAAACTAAAGACATCTGATGACAAATGCCACCCAGTATTCTTAAGGGAGATATCTCCTAAGAGTTGAATAAGAGGTAACCGCCATCACCTCCCATCCCTCACCTTCAGCCCCTGGAAAAAAAGAAGGACAGAGACTGAGAGAGTGATTTTCTGTGATGCAAAGTTGTAGGAGTAAAGAAAGTAACGGGAAAGGGGTGCTTCCCCTCTTGCCCCCAACAAAATAAGCAAGCAGGCTGCAAGATTACACCTGAGAGAATTTGAAGGCAATCGTATGAAAGGAGACAGTCATCCTCCCTGTTTGCTTGAGACTTGCAGACATTCACTGGCCCCCTCCCTTTCCCGTGCATGAAAGCTTGGGTTTGGCACATGGCTCTAGAGCTGGGGAGGCACAGAACAGGGCTCGACTCTACCCTGGAGAAATCTGAACATGCCAAGCTGGTTGGGGCACCACTTCAGCATCAACAAAGCACATTTGGAATTAGCTTTAGGAGAAGAGACAAAGTTGGTTTCTGATTGTGCCCTGAGGGGATATGCCAAATGGATGGGCTGGCTGCATCTGAAATCTTGTCTCACAACCCCACTGAGTTAGGAGAGCAGGTCCGCTAGCCTCACTTTGAAAGTGAAGACAGGAAGGCTCAGGAAGTTAAGCAACACATGAAGCCTGGCAGCTCAGATGTGGAGGGTCCCAGACTGAGAACGGGGTTGTCTGATTCCAGACCCAGGGACATCCCCGCCGACCTCTCCCAGCTTCTGCAGGTGCTCACAGGCCTGGCCATGCATGCACCTCCAATTACGGGGCGGCTGAGTGAGGTCCATCTACTCTGTCTTTTCTAACTCGCACGGGGGTGTTGTAGACGCGATGGTTGGGGACTCCCTCACCTCTTGCTTTCCCTACACTGATGGAAGATACATTTAGTTCACGCGCATAATGCTTCGGTACCAAGGGCCGAGCACTACCCATGCCTCTACCCATGCCTCTACCTGGCATTAGCCTTCCGTTTGCGGCAAACTGATCACAGCCTTCTGGGATCTCCAGGAGCCTTGGGAGCCACCCAGGAAGGCTCCTTCTGCTTCTGCAGGAAAGGAACAGGCGCCTTCACAGTTGAGATTTTTACGCATTTAGCTAAAAAGGAGGGAAAGCTTGCTATTGTTTTCTGGCTACACACAGAGGAGTGATTTCACCAGGAGAAACCAAAAAGCAAGACAAAGCCCGCTGGGCCTTCCTAGCATGCCCATACCTCAGCATGGCACCGAATCCTTTCTTCTTGATTTTCCTCTCTGGGTCTTCATTTTCTTCTTTCAGCTTTTTCTCCTTGACTTTCAGTTTGCCCTTTTCCTTCTTCTTCTCCTTCTCTTTGGGTTTTTTGATTTTCCTGGCTTTCTGTTCTGCACCCTCCAGCTCCGAGTTGCCCTGAGGGGCAGATTCACAATTCAGAGCTCCTTGGCCAGAGTGAGAGCTCTTATCAGACAGACGGTCTGTACGGAGAGAAAAATCAATACGTGTGGTCAGAGGCACTCACTGTTAGTAGATCAAGAAAAGTTAATTGTAAAATACAGGAATGAATAAAGCACTCCAGAGTTCTACCCTTCCACGCAGCTACTTGTACCCTTTGAAGAGACAACTGCCTAAATCTGGATACTTCAGGTAAGGTTTGCTGTTGGGAGGAGGGAGCAATGGGTGGTTCAGCCGGTGGTATAAAAGGTTTGATACATGGCAAAACACGAATATCTATGAAAGCCAGCTTGGGAGCCTCGATCGGCTCCGAAAGCCCATATGCTGGCAAACAAACAGGGCGAGTTTATTTCCAGGAGAGGTTTCTGAGGACACATGTAACCCAACTGCTTCTACCCAATTAATGCAGTCAGTCCTCAGGTTGAGGCTGCTTCTAATGACTCACATAAGAATGTCAAGAAATGCATACTTAGTGCTCCTACCCGTCCTTGTAGGAAAGTGAAGGAGAACATTTCTTTGACAGTTTGCACTGTCAGATAAATTGCATATTGTGTTAGCCAATTCCATGTTCGTTAAGCCAAAGGGCAAAACATATCAGGAAAATGAATTACTTTTAATATCAAAAATTTAATTGTGATCCTTAAATCATTTTTCTTTGTCGTTAAGCATACATCCTTGCCTATGATTCGCAGATGATAATGAAATGAAGAACGCGCATAAGGAAGCACTTTGTCCTACCAGCTTCTAGCTCTTCGGGTCCGTCATAGGATTTGTCAATGGCTGCCCGGAAACTCTCGTTGCAGCCTCGGCCGCGAACCATGTGCGGCCGGGGCCTGTGGAAGGGAAGTTCGTTCTTCCTGACCTCAGCAACTGCAGTCTGGAGACTCTCCAAGGAACTGGACTTTTTCAAACCCAGGGTTGGACCGAAATCTTTGCTTGGAGATTCTGGAAAAGAAAGGGCAAAATGTCACCCTTTCCCTAATGAGGCACGGTGTGGGGTAGTGGAAAAGTCTGTCATTCCAAAAATGTTTGTTTGGGCATCTTAAGAAAGGGGGTGTTGAGTGAGTAGGGTTTGGGGTTCGACCCCAGTTTTGCCAACTTTTTGTGACTTTGAACGAGTGGTTTGAGTTCTTGGAGTCTTGGTCTCCTTTTTTGTAAAGTTGTGGTTAAGATTTAAAAAAGATAACATATTAAATAAATATGCCTGTGTGTATATGCACACATACACAAATATATATGAATTTGAAAGTTTCCAGCAGTCTATAGAAATTGTACATGCATACACACACACAGGGCATCTAACATGATGAGGGCTTCTCTCACAGTGCCCACCCCAAGTGTTCCCTACGTTGTAGCTTTTTATTTTTTTTTTAAGATTTTATTTATTTGACAGAGAGAAACACAGCGAGAGAGGGAACACAAGCAGGGGGAGTGAGAGAGGGAGAAGCAGGCTTCCTGCCGAGCAGGGCGCCCAATGCGGGGCTCGATCCCAATCATGACCTGAGCCGAAGGCAGACGCTTAACGACTGAGCCACCCAGGTGCCCCACGTTGTAGCTTTTTAAAAAATAATTAATTTAATTTAATTTCTTTTTTAAGATTTTATTTATTTATTTGAGAGTGAGAGAGCATGAGAGAGAGCACGAGCATGGGGGAGGGGCAGAGGGAGAAGCAGACTCCCCACTGGGCAGGGAGCCTGATGTAGGGCTCTATCCCAGGACCCTGGGATCATGACCTGAGCTGAAGGCAGCCACTTAACCAACTCAGCCACCCAGGTGCCATGTAGCTTTTTTTTTTTTTTAAGATTTATTTTTTTAGAGAGAGAGAGAGAGAGGGAAAGCATTGGGGGGAGAGGGGTAGATGGAGAGAGAGAATCTCAAGCAGACTCCCCACTGATTGTGGAGTCCAATCTAGGGCTTGATCTCATGACCTTGAGATCATGACCTGAACTGAAATCAAGAGTCAGGTGCTTAACTGACTGAGGCACCCAGGTGCCCCTACATTGTAGCTTTTACTATTTCCATGACTATTTTTATGATTATTGAGTAACATACTATGCATAGAAATCAACACTGAAGTGATTATAATTTTTATGATTAAACACTTTACTCTAGTGGCTATTACTGTATCATGAATGCAATTCATTTAGTCAATAAATAAATAAAGCAAAGCAAGAAAGTAAACAACTTTTCTGTGTCAATGCTTATTGTTCCAAATTGTATTTCTATTTGGGTATCTAGAAAAGGGGTAATTTTTAAATGAAATATATAATTCCAAAAAGAAAAAAAAAACAAGTGAATTTTAGTAATTTGTTCTCCGATATATAATATATATATATTTTTAAAGATTTTATTTATTTACTAGACAGAGACAGACACAGCGAGAGAGGGAACACAAGCAGGGGGAGTGGGAGAGGGAGAAGCAGGCTTCCCGCTGAGCAGGGAACCCGATGTGGGGCTCGATCCCAGGACCCTGGGATCATGATGCTTAACGACTGAGCCACCCAGGCACCCATCGATATATAATATTTTTTACTAGCACTGTTTGGCCATGTAGCTGTCCCCTTCCCCCATGCCGCGACCTCCATTCCCAGCCACAGCCAGGCTTCCAGTTGTCTACAGCAGGATTAGGCTCTCTAAATACCAGCAGCACAAAGATTATTTTAAAGATGGAAGGAATTCTATCAGGCCCCCTTTCTACCAGGGCGAAATCTCATGATCCTCTCCAGTTGAGAAGGAGGTTATTACTACGTGGAAGCTAAATTTGCATTTCTGGGAATAAATTACTTTGCAGTTTTTCAATAGCTACAGATGGAGTACATACTAAGGATTACATACATAAACTACCTTACTCAATGCCTCTTTTCCATATGTTCTAAATATGTTAAAAGTAGTCAGAATAATGACAATAATTCTAGTAGCTAACATTGCATGGCATGCTTCGTCCTGTTCTAAGTGCTTTACCTGTATTACCTTACTGTAATCCTAACAGTTATTATTGTTAACCCCATTTTAGAGATGACAGAACTCACAAACAGAACAGAGAAATACTGGTATAAAATTACACACTCACTCTGCATCAGAACCGGGAATGTCCTCAGGCAGCCTCATTCCAGCATTTCTGTTCTGTACTGCCTAAAGATAAACTTGGCCTCTGCCCTCTACTTGATGACTCTAACGAGTCAAGCTACTTAAACTGGCCCACCGTGTCCTCATCCCCAGAAAAGCATTAGTCTTAGATTAGTCCTGATAAGACTGGCCAAACAGGCAAACTACAAAGATCAGATGTTGCTATAATTCTAGTTTCATCATTAACTTACAGGAGGCAATTTTGCACTTTGAACAATACACATGATGACAATAAACACTGCATTTTGTAGGTGACAGTGTATCTTTGATCAAGGCAACAGAGATGAGATTAAGCGAAAAAAAATTACAAGAAATTTCAGGGACAAATTTCAGATGCCACTTGCAAGTCACAAACACTGAGACTATGTTACTACTAAATCCACAAAGAGGCATACTTCTAATATTCTCAGGAAAGAAGGTAAGTTGAAGAAACAGAAATTGGATAAGATTGTTTCTGACAAGAAAACAAAAGGCAACATAGAGGTTTGGGGTATTGGAGCAACAGTAAAAGCTTTGGAGTTTACAGAAAATGTTTTACACCATCAACCCCTAGGACATCTGACATGAAGTTTGGTGAAAACAAGAAGATGAAGAACACTATCTGAGAAAGCTTAGTTCTCTGTCAACAATAGTAACCATTTTTATTTATTAATTGCCATTCAGGAGATTAGATTAGAGCCCAAACTGCAAGTATTCTTGTCAACCTTTTGCAATAAATTCTAGGGAACATGAAAGTGAATAAATCATCCAAGATATAAGGCACGCTATCTAAGAGGAGCTCATCTAAAGCTCAGCAAGAAGTCGTATTTGAGAAGGAACAAATACACTGTTACTCATTCTAAGCAAACTGAACATTAAGGATTCATGGATTTCCTGGATTAATAGAGCCAGCAATTAATTCACTTGACAAAAATAAAGAGAAGCCACAAATTAGAAGCATCAACTGACATTGGCCAAAATTACCACCTAGCTGTATTGGATGTAGTACATGGTAAAATTAAAAGCAAAATTAGTTGAGTTCTAGGTTGTGAATGTGAACTCAGGGGTCTTCAGGCTTGGAAAAAATGTTTATATTTATTCCTGGGGAGTCAACAGGATGTAGCAGGGGCAGGCTGATGTGAGAGAGGAAAATCTGAAATCAGGAAAGCCTCTGCAAGGATTCACAGGGGCACCGAACTGAAGTTCCAAGTGAAAGAAGACTCTGATGTGGGCCTTGACCAGGGTTCCACATCTCCTGTAGGTGTCCCAGGGCTTCCGATAGAAGGACAAGGTCGTGTTACTGGTTATGGGAGGGATTATTTTATCAGTCGATGGGGATCAGCACTAAATTCCAACAAAACACTTAGAATGAAGTACCCTACAAGGTAAAGATTGTACAGAGCACAATAAAGGGGCACATTCAATCCCTCTTCTCTTAGTCTTACCCTCACCAATTCAAACTTAGGTTGACATTACCTAGGAAACTCTGTCGCTTTTAGAATGGGAAGATTCACTGTCTATTGTTAGCCTAACCATTTGCACGAATTATATTTTTTCTAGGCTCCCATTAAAAATAGAGGTCTCTCTGAAGGGATAATGTAAAGTAATTAATCAAATTCAAAACCTCAGTCACTCTATCCCATTGAAGTCATCCCAAACTATGATGACTCCTCACATTTTCCTTGGCAGTTGATGTGATATTGGCTGTGGCTGATTTTAAGCAATTGTCTGAGAGAGTGATCTATGAATACCATGTGTTGTCATTCTCAGGGTGGGTGGACTCTGTCCAAATTTGAGCATTTACTTGTCCCATTTTGAGTATCTACAGAACTAATCTTAATATGATTGTTCAGTGATTTCCAGGCCAACCTCACTTACTTGCCTATGCCAAGGAATAAATCTTCTTTCAAACTTTACTAGTAAAGCTTTATTTTTTTTTAACTTACGACTTCTACATCCAGTGACCATGTTCTCTAAGATCCAGATAAACTCATCTTCCCATCAGAAACACGAACTTGACATACACAAACTTCTTTAAACAAATGATATAATAGTTATCAAGGGTGCTAAAAGAGGGATCTTACATGATAAAAATGATTCTCAACATCATATAATAAAAATATTCTCAAAGTTCCATGTGCCAAATTTTTCCTTAAAATAAAAGCCTCATAAGGAGATATCAGTGACATTTTTTTAAAAGATGTTATAGCACTTTCAAAGATTCATCTGTTCCCAAATGAAGGAAGGACTCGCTTGACTGAGTACCAGAAGTCTTCCCCACAAAGAGTAGAGGGAAATTTCAGGATCCATGTCTTTTGGTTCACCAACCCTCAGACATACCTACTACTCCCTGTCATCCAGAGAAATACATTGTTATGAAGAGAATGGATGCACACAACAAGACTAAAGATTTAAAGGACTAAAGACTTCTCCATGTGAGAAATGGGCATGAAAGAGGTGGTCTCATAAAACAGAGAGCTACTGTCTAGGTCAACAGGGGCCGCTACAGAATCGATCCTTCACACCCTTAGAAACCATTGCCTCCACCTTCTAGGTAGAAAGTCCCACGTCAATGTATCACAAAACAGAAAGTCCTTCCTGGAGGATTGTCTGGATGTGGACCTCAGTTTCCCTGACTCAGTCTTAGATTCCTGCCCCATGGCTGCAAACTGCTGTTGGTTCCCTACAGGCAGGTGATTCAAATAGAGAATAAAAGTGTAGAGTATCATTGACAGTGAATGATTAAGAGGGGAAGCTGTGAAACATCCCAACAAACTCCACTCTGCCGCTTATTTCCCGAGTTATTAACCCCTCTGTGCCTCAGTTTCCTTATGTGTAAA